TACGTTATCTATCGATATATAGGTACAACGGATATAGAATCGACGAAATTGCTGATTCTTATGACTTAAGAGCGCATTCGTTTTGAACTGGTGATACTGTATAGTTTCCGAACGGACAAAACGAATCAGTTTTCACAACGTTGATATGAGTCGAGAAGTTAACGAAGATAAAATCAAGAAAAGCGCACATTTTCGGGAGTTACGAACGCGTATGTTTTAAGCTGGTAATTGTGTGGAGTTTTCGAGTGAGTAGAACCGGCTGAGATTTTATGCTATTTATCTGCGTAGAAAACTTCACGAAGATAAAAATCAAGAAAAGCGCACGTTTTCGGGAGTTAAAAACCCGTAGATTCTGTAAAAGTAAATATAGATTGACTATGAATGAGTAAAAACATGTAGTTTTATAACTGGCGAGAAAATGTTATTTCTAAACCCGTTAACCGTCAAGAAAAGGTTAACGGAGATTAAAAACCTGAAAATGTGCGCTTTTCTTGATTTCATTTTCGTTAAAATTTAAACGCGTATTTCACCGTATTTTTAAAGATTTTGTCTGCCTGGGTACAACGGTATTTCTTTACATTCCCTTCTACTACAGTATTTAATCAAAGTTTATTTTATCTGGTTTTATCCTCGACGCTAAAATTTCCTTAATAGCAAGTTAGCTAGTATTTAAATATGATCATGTTTAAGTATATCAAAAAAAGAGAAATTAACAGAATCAGTATTAGTCAAGAAAGAAGCGCAAAATCAGAGAAACTCAAGTCATCAAGAGATAAACGAGAAACATTAAAACATCAAAATTATAAATTTTTCAGAGTAAGCGCCAGTAGAGTAACCATCGGCGTGGCATTTTTACAAGATGCCCAATTGAATGTGTAAATGTGCCATAGCATGATGCTACTATATCATTCACGATCATATTACCTTCACGCGTTAACGGAGCATATGCATCAAAAAGACGAATGTCATCAATTTCAGTAACTTTGATTCCATTAGCGAAACGATAGTTTTCATCGACCAGGTATAGGTGATCGCCAACTTCAACTTCAGATGCAAAAAGGTATTGTGGGTGGGAGAAATGTTTCTTCCGAACAAAAAGAGAGTGCGATGGCGTGACATGAAGTACACTATTATTTGCCATTGTCTGGATTTGTCGATAGCGAATTGGTTTATGCGAATTGTAATGCTGATAGATATCTACTGCCAGAACTGAACTTGATCGTATTCGAATACCGCCTGATTCATCATGATCAGCAACTAATATCTGATCACCCACACGCAAATCTCGTATGTAAACCGAGTTACCATCGGCTTTGCGAACAAACGAACTACCATCGAAACAGCCTAAAACGAGAACAAAAATTATTTCGTATACTCGTTCTTAACATCAGAGTTTGGAAACAAACGTTGAAGAATACATGCATCTCTGATGTACTAACTTTCAGTCGTCGTCATTGTTGTTGTTGTTGTCGTTGTGGTAGTCGTTGTCGTCGTCGTCGTCGTCGTTGTTGTTGTTGTTGTTGTTGTTGTTGTTGTAGTGGTTGTGGTTATACTTTCTGTGTTAGTCATAAAAAAGAGATACATCAAATTGCAAGACAGCACAAACTTACCTAAGATAGGTGGTAGGATAATACCAAGTATGGTCCCTATAGCTGTGAGTAGTGTAGCAGCTACGCTCACGAAAAGCAGACAATACAAGCGCTTCGCGGATCTTTGATTCTTATCTCTTCGATTTGTATCTATAAAATGAGACAGATATTATATTGTTTTGCGAGCAGTACTGCCATGTATAGTGTCATTAACCAACATTCCCTAAAATCTGTTGGGACTTTACCGAGAAGAAGGTCAGCTTTTTCTATGATAAAACGTATCTAGTCGAAAGAGCACCATACATTAAAACCAATTATTGTTAGCGTCAGTGACGATTTATACTTATCCTAAATTCTCATTGAGATCGTTTTTCCAGCCTGTTAGACTGAGAAAATCTGTCATGGTGGCAGAAAATGTTAGTGTGAGCTTTACGAACGTTATTCGTTTCTGTTCTCTCCACCCTATGCAGCTTAATCCAGGACTCATACAAGATGTTAAAAATTATGACACTCAAAATTTATTCTAAAACTATCACTTACGATCGTACATATTTTCTTTTCGAAAGCTATTTCTAGTGATCTTGTAGACATATCTACACACTCAAGTATTCTGAAAACTTCCACCTAAAATTAAGTGTCTTCTAAATTACGAAAAATATATAAAGCAATACAAAAAAATGATTCATCGAAAATAGTTTTTCAATGTCATAGTTGTCTTAAAATCATTGAAGCGTAACTAGACTGGAATATAGGACTAACCTATCAAGTAAGTATAACAGATACGTCACACAATCCAGTAGTGTCAAACTCGAAAACTGAATTCAGTTATTCAACTATTACTTCAGGTATTCAGTTTTTATACTTCATTACGTGAGATACCGGTAGAGAGCTCCGAATCCCATCCAACACGCGCGTAACATCATCGCTGTCCGACAACAGTAGTGTCGAACTCTAAACTTGAATTCTTCAATCATTTGAGTATTCGAGTATTCAAATATAATAATTGAATACTTGAACTTTTCGAGTATTTAGAAAGAGAAAGCACGTGGATTTTTTAGGTACGAGCGCTCAGAAGGCCTGCAGCCCTCTTCGCTACCGGTCTCGATAGTCGAGCGCCCAGACGGCCTGCGCCCGCCTTCGCTACCAATTTTCCCCTCTAACGAATGGTGCCATCTTATTCCTCAGTCGCACAGCGGGCAAACAAACAAACTTTCTTCTTTATATACATGCATGGAACAAGAAGATAGTCAAACTTATCGCGCTTTTACATTTAACATTTGCGTTTCGTGCCAAATCACATTCTTTTAGTCAATTAACGTGGAACTCAGCTGTTCACGAAAAATGTCCCAAATGATATACCCAATATTTCCATCTGAATTTTTTTCAAGAAACCAGACACCTCACCCCTTGTTAAATCCTGACCAGGCCCTTGCCCCCTCACCCCTACACCCTACATCACCCTTCGAGCACCCTCACTTGACCCTTGCCCCCTCACATCCTACATCACCCCCTCGAAGCACCGTCACTGATATAAACCCTTCATCACCCTTCGAGGCACCCTCACTCACACCTTACGAGGCAACACCCTTCGAAACACCCTCACTCACGACTTACGAGGCAACACCCTTCACGACACCCTCATTCAAGTGTCATAGTTGAATAACTGAATAACTGAATTCAGGTTTCGAGTATTACATGTATGACGCAATCCCACAGTGCTGGGTTCGATTCGGTTCGAACGAAGTATCTATGAAAATGACTTAAGCACATCCTTCCTTTATGTTATCTAATAAGAAAAGAAGAAAAATATTTAGTCAGAGCAAAACAATGCTGACTGCAAAGTAGAGATAGTGATACTCACGTACTTGGAACGTCATGTAATTCATTTACACACAATATGAAAACGAGAAATTAATAATGTTTCTTTGTTTTACTTACAAAGATTTGAGTACTGAAACATGTAAAGATTATTGTTTTCTGATTGCTCTTCTATGAATATCTGTCTTCGTATAGACTTTAAAAAAGTCAAATTATCTGCCGGTCGAATAAATTGTCCAGATGGATAAAATTTTTTATTCGCCACTATTGGTAGAGAACAGAGGTGAGCACAGGGTAAGATGTGCGGCTCTACCTACACGCCTATCCTGTTCTGCAGAAAGATGTCCCAATTTCTGCCTTGCCCTGTCCGCAGGACTGGATGGACCCTTTTGCGGTGTATTCTTATACGATGTTTTTACGCAAGCTTTTCAAAAGCAGGGAACTAATCACAAAAAATGCTTTTAACTGCCCATAAATCCGCGTGCGTTAAAGACAATTCTACGTTGAAACAAGCGATTTACATAAGGATGAAGAACCATAAACTCAATATTTATGTTAACAAAAGTCACACTAATTTTCTATAAATGATCCAACTATATTGTTTGTAGTTTTTCTTTTTAGCAAGCCATTGAAAGAAAAACATACTTTATAAATTACAAAGAGTTTCAGATTTCGACACGGCTAAAACCGTTCAAATGGCGAATCGTACACGTTATTTTTTTATCATGTGTCTACTTTGAATTTTTCTCCACACCTTGAATTTTATTCGTTTATCTCAGAATGCTCCCATGCTTCTTTCATGACCACTTGATAGTTCGAATATGAAGAAATTATCCTTTGAAGCGGAACTTACTATGCGAATAATCCTCCTCTCAGTAGAAGAAATTAAGACAATCAATCGAAGTCTTTATTTATTAGACAATAGTTCGTTGCTCGGATCAATAAAGAAATATGACCATCACTTTGAATAGCGTTCGATTCTTTTTTTCAAATTAGTCTATTCTGCGAGCATTACCTATTTTCTCAAAACAGACAAGCATAAATCTAGTCGGTTCTTTTCTATTCATACTGATACAAACTGTCTCAAAATGGTGGTTTTACTCTTAAGTCAGAGTATATAGTAGTTTTCGCTTCATAATATATATAATATTAACAAATCATCGACCGTTTTCTGTTGAATAACTCTGCTTTAATATAGTTTCAAACGTCTCCCTCGTATTTGTGAGGCGAAAACACGTCAAAGAAGGTATAGTCGTAAATTATCGTATTACCTTGAACACAGAAATTTTTAAAAACTTACAAGTGTCCTTTTGAAAATCCTGTCGAGCACCTGCCCTATCCTGTCTTGTCCACATTGCAGGTCAGTATGAAAAAGTTCGTTCTGTGCTCACCTCTGATTGAGAAATCAACAATACAATCATTTTCGAATGGATCATCTATAATTCTTTACTACATAGACTTTTGCAATATTCTATCATATATTGAAAGCTTACGAAGGTTTCCAGTGCTGTCGACATTTCGAAAAAAGTTTGGAGGGACGTTTTGAGAGTCATTTTTTATATATCTTTTGATATTATAAGCAAAAAAAATATATCAACGTTTTTAGACTTTCTGTGTTATCGCAAAGCTATTGAAGATTTGTTTAGATTCTACCATTTTTATCTCAAAATCTTGTTTTTTCTCAACTCATTTAAAAAAACTAAGGAAAATCCACAAAAGTTTCTCAGAAAGTTTTTGAAAATATAAAAGATTTCTCACACGAATGGTAAAATGGAACCTTGACAAAAGACTTTTCTTACAGAGTGAGATTTAGTACGTTACACAGTATAGTATATATAGTTCAAATGTTAGATAAATCCTTTTTTATAGCAGTGAATTAATTTAGATCATACAAAGGAAAACTTCTTGAGTTCTTGATACTGATTGTTAATAGTTTGGCGATTGAGCAACATTATATGTACAGTACCCATGTAAAAAAAATTGAAAATCATGATTTTTATGAGAAATCGATTTAAATGGCACGATTTAAATAGCTTGGAAATCAATTAGACTAAAATAATTATTTAAAATCGATTAAATTGTTGTATAAAATCGATTTTAATCGATTACTTTTNTCAATTAGACTAAAATAATTATTTAAAATCGATTAAATTGTTGTATAAAATCGATTTTAATCGATTACTTTTCACTAAAAGATCAAAACCATCGGATTTTAGTCGATTAACCATAATTTAATCGATTATAATCGATTTTATACAACAATTTAATCGATTTTAAATAATTATTTTAGTCTAATTGATTTCCAAGCTATTTAAATCGTGCCATTTAAATCGATTTCTCATCAGATTTCTCATAAAAATCATGATTTTGATCATTTTTTACATGGGTAATAGAATATTGTATGGATACTTTATTCTAACCAGAGGTATTCCTAATTGAAATGTTGGGTGATAGATCTTCTTTTTACTTACTCGGTTGTGTAGCGGAGAAGTCCGATGCTTGAGTTGTTGGTATTTCAAGTTTCATTGATATTGGCAGTACTTCTTGTGTAAATTCAATTGTGGGGTATGGTGGTGACTTGTCCGAATCATTGGAGCTATCAAGTGATGATCTTCTATATTTTTGGTTACGTATTTCCTGCTTGTTATATTTGTAGCTTTGGTTTTCTATATTCATAGAAGTGTAAAAAAATATTAAAACCAATATTTTCAGCAAAGCTTTCTTTTAAGTCTAACAGAACCCAAATACTAAGAAATTATTAGGTTTTTTAATCTCTAAATTTGGTACATCCTCATCTACTGTTTTGAAGTCTAATATTCACACAATATTTCATGATGGCATAGTTCCCTAATGCGATAGTTCTCAATCAAAACATTTCCTTTCTGCATCTGAAAAAAGAAATTTATATTTGCGAAACGTTTTGGAGTAAATTTTAATTGTTTGTGACACTCTTTTGATAGTTTTCTTCTCCAGAGTAATTGGGCAGAAAAAATTTTGATCTATCACAAACCTTCGTCCTGGTGTCGATGTCTTTTGGTTTTCAATCTGTCTGATACCTGCCGTTCAACTTCTGGTAGTTCTTGTAGAGGGGCACTCCCGTCCTCTGCAAACGATGAGGAAGCTGAAGATTCCTTAATTCGTGGTTGAACATAAATGTAGTGAACATGTATCTCTCGAAGATAAGGTGAATTCTGAGGCTGCCCCGTCGTTGTGTAATCTGGGATTGATGAAATTGATCGTGTCTGACTTTCATATAGAAAATCACGGTAAACCTAGTCACAGCGGAAATTGAATACATAATGTTCATTCATCTTACAATTTGGCAGTATACATGTATCTGGTCAAAGTAACTGTGATGGACTGTTTGTATTTTTAACAGTAATCTGCATGATTAAGTTCTCGTTCTTCAAAAAGACAAGTTCCCTCGACTATAAGGAGGTTCATATGAAAAAAATAGTTTTGCATGTGTGTTTGTGTCAAGATCAAAGGTCAAATACATATTATCCTACATCTTGGTGGAGTCCATAGGTTCTCGTAAGATGCATTTTAAGGGTAAACATGGGTCTTTAAGTCGCGCATCTGCGCGCCATTTACTGTTTTTATACTGCCCATTTTTCAGGCATTCATGGGTCTCCATGTAGCCCAGTGTGAGTATGCTGATGAGTTCCCAAATGGCATACTATTGTCGCATTTTTAGTCTTTATCTGGAGAAATTTAAGGCCATCCATACGTTCTCAAGTCCTATATAGTGGAGGTGCCCATATATCCTTAATCGGTGTAATTGGGAAATACACAGCAGTCATTGAGTCGCATGTTGTTTCGTAAGTTAGAATTTAAACTTGAACAAAACTGGAACAGTTCCTTTGTACAAAGACACTAGGCTAGTTTGTATTGCCATTGAGACAGAAAACTAGTTCTTTCGTACTCAGTCGAAAGTGAAGTGAGTCGCAATGACGAACGTAACTTGTTTTAATAGTAAGTTTCATCACAACTACGGAAACTCATTGGATTTGAATTTTCACTTTAGAATTTTAAAGTCTTCAAAATGACAACAGAGAAGCAATGGTATCATAACCAGCAGTGAAAAAAATTACTTCATGGCTGTTTTCGATAATTATAATCACGGTCACTCACGAAGCTTTCTGGTTGTAATGATCAGACTTAGTTATGTGCGGTTCGACAGGTTACTTCCTCGTTTTTACAGTGTTATTATGAAGAACATGAAATTCTGAACTCAAAAAATCTAAATTGCATAGTTTTTCTATACTCATGATGAGGGCTACTATCAAAAGATGTGTTTTTTATATTCGCAAAAAATCAAAGCCCCGAATACTAATGCTCATAGTTTGTTAATTCAAAAACGTTATTTCCTATGGTCCATCTTCACATGATTTTGCGTTTCAAAATTCATGAACTACAGACCTCTCATGACTTAAGAGAGGATCCATGGGACCATCGAGAAACCGAGGCACTCGTCAAAATTTTGTTTTGCAGTTTGACAATCTCATTCTGTACAGCATCATTAGAAACTCTTAAATCCAAATTTTTAGCTCATTTGGTCGAACCAGTGAAGAGCTAGCTTAATTTTACTGTTGAAGACTCAAAAATGTATTTTCGAATTTTGTTCAATATTCTGTCCAGCAGTTTGAGGCTTGTTTCGATAGGAAGAACTTATTGATATTCTTAGTGTGACACACCAAAAGATGCAGCGTCGAAAGCTGATCAAAACTGCATATTTGCGCCTTCTTTTTGTATTGACTCAAAAAAACTTTTTCAGTTAACATTGCTGAAGAGAGGCCATTTTTCGAGCAAAACAAAGTCGACTGTTTTTCACTGTATCAACTGTCATTCAGTCAAAATATGAATCCCCAAGCTGAATTTTTGATATGTTGTACATTTGATTCTCCTCTATAAAATGGCTTTTAAAAAAAGTTAAAAAAATGGTCTGCTTCGGGTGAAAATCGTGTCCCAAACTTTGTTTTTTAGCCGTTTTTTAAGGGTTTTTGAGAGAAATCGAATATTCATCATCTTTTTTTTAGAGTCCATGTCATCGCCAGATGGAAAAATGAACCCGATATTCAGAATCAGCGCAGAAAACTGACCTAGAAACTATCAAAACCACAGACAAAAAAAAATTGCGAAAATTGACCTGGAGGGGGGTAGGGGCGTTGGTTTTAGGAAACATTAGACGTGGGGTACCACAGGTCAATTTTCGCAATTTTTTTTTGTCTGTGGTTTTGATAGTTTCTAGGTCAGTTTTCTGCGCTGATTCTGAATATCGGGTTCATTTTTCCATCTGGCGATGACATGGACTCTAAAAAAAAGATGATGAATATTCGATTTCTCTCAAAAACCCTTAAAAAACGGCTAAAAAACAAAGTTTGGGACACGATTTTCACCCGAAGCAGACCATTTTTTTAACTTTTTTTAAAAGCCATTTTATAGAGGAGAATCAAATGTACAACATATCAAAAATTCAGCTTGGGGATTCATATTTTGACTGAATGACAGTTGATACAGTGAAAAACAGTCGACTTTGTTTTGCTCGAAAAATGGCCTCTCTTCAGCAATGTTAACTGAAAAAGTTTTTTTGAGTCAATACGAAAAGAAGGCGCAAATATGCAGTTTTGATCAGCTTTCGACGCTGCATCTTTTGGTGTGTCACACTAAGAATATCAATAAGTTCTTCCTATCGAAACAAGCCTCAAACTGCTGGACAGAATATTGAACAAAATTCGAAAATACATTTTTGAGTCTTCAACAGTAAAATTAAGCTAGCTCTTCACTGGTTCGACCAAATGAGCTAAAAATTTGGATTTAAGAGTTTCTAATGATGCTGTACAGAATGAGATTGTCAAACTGCAAAACAAAATTTTGACGAGTGCCTCGGTTTCTCGATGGTCCCATGGATCCTCTCTTAAATATGTTATGTCGGAGAATTGACAGGTCTCTGCTTTCACAGAACTACTTCATAGATGTCTTACTCGCATTTTTGCCCAAATCGTTCAACGTTCTCTTTTACACGAACGTGTGTGTATTTATTACAACTAAATGATGAAATGGCTTTCGATGGACTTTGAGGAGCCTTAGTTATTCCTTTAAACAACAAGATGCTTCAAGATAAGGAAAGCCAATTTTTTTCTATTGACTCAGTTTATTTCACAAGACCATACTGAAAAAGCATGAGTTGATAAATTTTCAAGATAAAAATACACCTTTTTCATTACTTCTGAAGTTTTGCCTAGTCAAAACGAGTAGCTGCCTAATTCGACTAATAATATAAATGGACAACCATATACGTATTCCTATACATCTTAAGGATAAATAGGAATAGATTTAGATATAGTTATACATAAGTATAGGCATGCACCAAACCCCAAACTAAAGTTTGTGTCCGGGCTCAAGCCTGGGTGTGCTCGAGGATTTGGGTGGAGGTGAGACTTCGGTTATAGATTTCGGGTTCCGATGCGGCTGTGAGACCGAACGGTTCGAGTTTAGATCTAAATGGTTTCAGTTTAGGTTTTTATACTGAAACGTAGAATCATTTGGTATTTATCAGGCATAAACTACAGGGTGAGCCAAAAGTCTTGGTAGTTGTTGGAAAAATCACTCGTTCTCCCTTATAATAAATCCGAATTCGCTCTAAATTGGAGCAATAGTCTCTTATTATACGACAAATGTTACCTCAAATGTTCGAGGCTATAACTTTTATTATAAGGGAGATATAGAAAAAATACGAGGATGAAAAAAAACGTTTTTTTTTCAAAAAATCAAAAATAGTAAATTTTATTCGAAAAATAAGGTCTAGAATAATTAATTTTCATTATTCATACAAATACATTCAACAAGAATTTTTACTTGTTAATACCATGATAGTCTTTTTTAGTGATTTGAAAACCTTTTTTGTTAATCAAACAGTGGAATCTTCTTGGTATTGAATCAATCAAATTGGAACACATTTTTGGAGTAATTGTTCTCCAAATCTTTATAATTTCCTTTTTTAATGTTGATACATTCTGAATTGCTTCATGACTCAGTTTCTCGTTGATGAAGCTGCAAATGTTCTCGATAGGCCATAATCAGCTATTTTATCTGACTGTTAATCAGTATTGATATGATTATCGAAAATTTCATTTATTTTTCCCAAAGCATAACAAGATCGATGTTTGAAATCTCTATCGTCTTGCCATATAACATTAACATCATTGTACAATTGATCAATATGAATTTTCAGCTGTTTTACTATTTTATAGGCATGCACCGAACCCGAACTTCAGTTCGGGTTTGGAGCCGAATGGTTCGGGCTCGAGTTCGGGTTCGGATTCGCTCTTGAGGTTCGGCTATAGGTTCGGGTTCGGTTTCAGGGTTCGAGTTCGGGTTCGGTTTCGAGGCCGAACAGTTCGAATTCGCGACCAAACAGTTCGGGCTCGGCATCATACTGTTCTGTTTCTTTAAGCAAGTCTGAACTTTAATTCGTGACGTACATATTAGACAAGCCATCTGTCTGCACAAGAATTTGCTTATCATCAATAGAATTCTTCAATTTCCTTCATATAATACTCCACTTTATGTGATATTACAATGAAATATCCAGCCTACATGAAGCTCGGACGAAAGTTCGACCGATTGTAAATATTAAATTTTGTGACAAATCTGTTTCAAAGCTTTGAATAACCTCGATAACCGTACAAATGCAACTATGGCAACATTGTTCCACGAAACATAAACAGATAGACGAAATCGACATTTACAAATCATACCATAATACCCTATTATTTTTCATTTCGTTAAGAAGGATAAGGAGAGGGAAACAAGTCAAGCCCCCCTCCTCGTGGTGTTTCCTGGGTAATGCTAACGGGCCTCTGCAAACCTCTCATGATGAACACAACAAAACATAAAACTCGTACCTCTCCCGGAAGTGGGATACCGGGGCCTGCCCCTGGAGCCAGGCCTGGGGACAGAGCAATGCGAGCGTCTGGTGGTCGATCGAACATTGGAACCCGTAGATCGACCGGGTCTAACCCGAAAAAGTTACGGGAGCCAACAACAAATCACCAGCAAGAAGCTAGCGATGATCTCGCCAAACATCCTAGCACATATGGGGGGAAGGCGCGATGCCCTAAGGGCACGTTCAGTACAAACAACCATCGAAAACGACAACAACAACGTAAGTATAAAACCAATATTGGTACATGGAACGTCACATCATTAAATGGTAAGGAAGTAGAAGTGGTCGAAGAAGCGCAAAAATATCATCTGGACATACTTGGAATATCATCAACAAAAAGAAAAGGTAAAGGATCAATAACGTTAAATAACGGGTGGCAATTATATTATTCTGGTGTTGATACAACAACTTTTGCTCAAGCTGGAGTGGCAATATTGGTGAACCCGCGGTTGATCGATTCAATCATCGAATGGAAACCAATCGACGAAAGAGTAGTCCTTATACGACTACAATTAAAAAGAACTACTGCAACGATTATTCAAATATATGCACCAAATAACGAAGCCGACTATTCAACTTTTCTCGATGTCGTTTTTACGACCATCGAGAACGTACCGATGACTGATTCTATTTTCCTAATTGGTGATTTCAACGCACACGTGGGAAGCGACTCACAAACATGGGATGGTGTTATAGGACCAAACGGTGATCAAGATATCAACAATCAAGGTAAGCAACTGTTAGATTTTTGCTCTAACAGCGGCTTATCAATAATGAACACATTCTTCCAACACAAAAACATACACAAATACACATGGTACAAAAGTGGTGGCCAAATAACTCAGAGATCTTTGATTGATTTTGTCATCACATCGGATAATATTAAAAGAAAAGTAATGGATGTACGAGTCAAACGAGGTGCTGAGCTATCTACTGACCACCATCTAGTTGTATGTATCGTACAGCTCACAACGAACACTCCGAAACAACGAACACAAGCAAAGAACTTGTGCAGAATTAAATGGGAAGCACTCGGTGACGCAGAAATCAAAGAAAAATTTGCAAAAACGGTGGATCAAAAATACTCTCAACTACCAACATACGAAGGTGATAGTGAATTAGAATGGCTCCTATTTCGAACAGCTATACTTGGTGCAGCAGCTGATACATGTGGTGTAAAACGTATTGGATCAACAAATGGCCAAAAAAGAACGGCATGGTGGACGGAAGAAATTCGCAAAGTTGTAAACCAGAAGAAAGCAGCGTACAAAAAATGGATACAACAACCGACATCAAACAACTGGCAAAATTACAAACAAATTCGAGAAAACGTGAAGAAAGTGGTAAGTGAAGCAAAAACAAAGTCATGGGAAGATTTCGGACATCAAATGGAATCAAATTATCATACAGCAAGCAAGGTGTTTTGGCAAACAATTCGACGATTACGGAAAGGTGGATTGAAACAAACACGATCGATAAAAAATGCAGATGGTGAGCTTTTAACAAGCGAAGAAGACATTCTTGAGCGATGGAAACAGTACTTTGCAGAATTATATAATCCGACGAACAATCATGGCAATACTATAAACCAGGCAACATCGGGTGATCCAAACGGCATTACATTAGGTGAAGTATCATTGGCAATTAAATCGTTAAAATCTGGCAAAGCTGCTGGTATCGATGAAATCAGACCAGAGATGCTGAAGGCACTCAAGGATGGTGGAATACGATGGCTAACTCGTATCTGCGGGGTGGTGTGGAAAAGTGGTGAAGCTCCAAACGATTGGCAGACAGGTATTGTAGTTCCAATCTTCAAAAAAGGTGATCAGAGAGATTGCTCTAACTATAGAGGAATCACTTTATTAAGCCTTCCTGGCAAAGTTTTCGCAAGAATAATCGAGCGAAGGTGTCGCCAGATCGTCGAACCTCAAATTCAAGAGAATCAATGTGGTTTTCGTGCTGGTAGAAGTACAGTCGACCAAATATTCACGTTACAACAAACAATCGAAAAGTCTTGGGAATATGCTAAACCAATATATGCACTTTTCATAGATTTGGAAAAGGCGTACGATCGAGTACCACGTAATATACTTTGGAATGTACTAAAAGAATATGGTATCCGAAATCAACTACTATCGGCAATACAATCGTTGTACAAAAACTGCCAAAGTTGTGTTCGGATAAATGGAAGTAAATCGGACTACTTCCAAGTACAAGTTGGTCTTCGTCAAGGATGCGTTCTGTCTCCCTTATTATTCGTTATCTACATGGACAAAATATCTCGAACAAGTGCCAGCTCAACATGTGTGCAAATTGGTAATGTCAAGGTGGATTCTCTCCTGTTTGCTGATGACATCGCACGACTAGCAACATCAGAAAATAATCTACAAATGGCCCTCAATAAATTCGACAAGGTGTGCTTGGACTATGGAATGAAAATCAGCGAAAAGAAGACCGAAGTGATGATGATCTCAAGAGACATCAGGCAAGTAAATCTGCATATAAACAACAGCCCATTGAATCAGGTAAGCAGCTTCAAATATTTAGGGGTGCAATTCTCAAGTGATGGTAGACAAGAAGGTGAGATCGATCGAAGAATTGGTGCATCAAGTGGTGTTTTACGCACACTCTACCGTTCAGTTGTAACGAAGACTGAACTGAGCAAAAAGACAAAAATCGCAATTTTCAAATCGGTGTATCGACCTACTCTCATATATGGACATGAACATTGGGTACTAACAGAAAAGCTGCGTTCTCGAATACAAGCAGCTGAAATGAGATTCCTCCGCAGAATATCTGGATTAACAATAAGGGACAAAATACGTAGTACGAATATCAGAGAATCCCTACAAGTCGAACCACTTCTTCAACATATTGAACGATCTCAACTACGATGGCTTGGACATGTCATCCGAATGCCACATAACCGACTTCCGTACCAAGTATTCGAAGCAAAACCAATTGGACGAAGACCCGTTGGACGACCACGTACAAGCTGGCGAAAATACATGGAAAAACTCTGTCTGGAGCGTTTGAACCTCCGGTGGCCTGCAGTACAGCAAGCAGCAACAGATCGAATTCGATGGAAACAATTACTGAACGCGCTCATACCCCAACCCGCAAGGACAAGGGGAAGAAGATGAATGAATGAATGAAAGGATAAGGAGATCCAGCTCATCATATATTTATCTTAGATTTTTATCGATATGTCGCATTTTAAAACTGTGATTTGACTTCTTTCCCGTTTGATAATGTTCACACGAAGAGAACGTGTGTATGTCTATCATACTTATTGGTCTTTATTTTCGTCTTGCTTATTCTTAATGAGCCATGTGAGAATAAGTATATGACATTACGCGAATACTTTTTCCGTTCTGTGTCCATTCTATGATGAATCGATATTTAAATTAATACGAGACAAATCTTCTGTATGTGAAGAGGTCATATATATTATCTTTACCAGTGAAATG